ACGCTTATGGGTGCTCAGAATATTATGATGAATCTGGGAATATTATGAAAAAAGCTGATGATCGTCAGAAAATTATGATCATCAAAAAAACTGATGATCGTCAGAAAATTCTGATGATCGTCAGAAAATTCTGATGATCGTCAGAAAGTTCTGATGGTCGTCAGAAAATTCTGAGGATCGTCAGAAAATTCTGATGATCGTGAGAAAATTCTGATACCTCCCTGGGCGGAATCTGCAATATGTGTTTTTTTTTTTTGTGGCGAAATGTACCTCAATTGATGTATAATTCAAAGATATTTACACATATGAAGGTGGTGCATCTGTTCGCGCATGCATGTTTGGACCACATAAAAGGGACTGGACCCCTAATCTCACAGTGTTACTGGTGTCTCTTAGTGAGCTTCTGACATTCTGACAAAAGTAATTTCTGCAGATGGCAGATCACAGAAGAAAAATCTCAGAAGAATGAAGAGTTGTAGAATAGGACTTTGTTTGTGTCACTTGTGTCCCTATGTTCTTGTTGATTGGAATTTGCACGGTCCATCACTCCTTGTGATTTGATGAAGTTCCATCACCATGACTTTGAACACCTCAAACATTACAACTTCAGTCAATATGCGTTTTAAGTGTCCAATCGTTTAGTTTTAATATATATGGCAACCTTGAATCCAATTTCACACTTGGAAAACGCATATGAAGGCTCCACAATCACAAATTTCTGATACCCTTCTCTCGTGAAACTTCTTAGCAATGTACGAGCCTATCTATGTTGAGGTCATTATTGTCATCTGTTGTCATCTAGTCTACAGTCCATGAAGCCACATCTTGAATGTCCGCTCGGGTGGCTAAGCCACCCATTTGGGATTGCGTCTGCGGCTGCCATGTTCAATGTACATCCTGGCAAAAGGACCTTTCTTTCCTCCTTGCTAATAGTCTGTCACTGGCAAAAAAACTCAGAAAAAGCAACCTGCGCCACCTGCACTTGCTTGAGCCATGATGAGTTCCTTCGACCAACCCTTCGGCTTCTTTGGCCGGTTTCAGCGGCCTGGCTTTTTCGGTTTCTGCAGCCTTCTTCAGCTGCTTCTCCTCACATGGGAAGCCATAGGATGTGAATGAAGCTCAAGAACACTCAAAGAAAGCCCAAGAAAGCCCAACTGCAGGTGTTCCGGAACGAAGATTCAGGCCTCCCATGAATGACTTCCAAGCTTTTTTGAACATACCCCTGCCATGTGATTCGAAGTGACTTGCTCCGGGGTCACACTGAGAAGTGCCCTGCAGGCCGATGCTTCTCCTTCATCTGTTTCAGCAGGTACTCCTGGCCAGGAGTACCGGGAGCGGCCGCTGTTGTACTCGTTGATGCAAATGTGTAGGTACTGTGTTTCTTGGAACTAGGACAGCTACCAAAAGTCAGTTTAGTAAGGAAACATTGGATAACCGGATACCCAAATAAGTTGCTCTGTGTGCAGGGAAAGTATTATAGATGAAAATTCAGCATATAAAACAATAGAACCAGCCGGGTGATGTTGTTATGCACTGCTTTTGAAGAAAGACATCCCCCACTACTAAGAAGGATGAACCGATGCGCCCCACAAATACTAGCAAATACGTAGAAAGAATGACTGGGGAGCGACTGGGGTGGTGCGGCATCCTTCCACTAATACGGCAAAGACCCGATTCAGTCCATTCCCCAGTTCCTGCTGAGACAGCTACCGTACGCACCGCCGTCAACAAACGTGCAACAAATCTGAAAACGCTCTGCATGAGTTCTGCTTGTAGAATCCTTTGAGCCGGATTTCACCAAGTGCAATGTCTTTATGATCCTTACTAGACATCCACCCATCAGCTAAGTTTCTCCACTCTAAAACCCAGGCCTCAAAGTGATACCATGTGAACACCCAACTCCTCCCTTGATTCAACAACTCGGGTGATACGAGTACCAGGGTGCTGAGGCTTGTCCAGGCCTTCACTGTTCGTCACCCGTTTTCCTCGCTCCCTTCGTTGCTCCGCGGAAAGCAGGGCATCTCCCTCCTGTTTCTGAATCTGTGTCACTTGTCGCCAAGACAACGATGTCTCCTGTGTTTGGGACTTCATGTCCTCGAGCTTCTTCCGATTCGCCTGCTCTTCAGAGGCGGCGACCGCTGAGGAAGAGGCGGCTTGGTGCGGCTCAGGACGCGAGGGTCGCATCACCAAGATCCCAAACAGTGGATCGCTTTTCAGTGCGAAAGGCCTGATATGTTGACGCCTGTAGCCATGAGATGGTAGGAACAACAAAGATGAATATTTGGGCACCGAAAGAAGCACTCAGGGACTGAGGGAATGCATAAAACCATCGGGCACACCAAAGCCACGATTTTGCAGCTCTTATCAAAGCACAAAGCCTATGTGTCAAGCTGGGGTTGCTTGATTAGGGGACCAAAGAGCTGTGAATTCATTGGAAGGGTCCCATCAATTCCCTGACTTTGTACTGTGCAACCAACATCCTCAATCCAAACCAAGCAAGTCATCTAACTGCAAACCAAGCAAGAAACATATCCAAACTGGTCAAGCAAACCTTCCAAGTTCCCACCAGCCCGTTCCCTCCCGGCCTGTTCCTGCTGCTCGGCGGCCCGGTCCTGCCCAGTCTGCTTACCACTTCAGTGGCAGGATGTGGGAGAGGATGGATTTGGTATGGTTCCCCTTCCAAAAGGGTCCTTATAGGGGTCAAGCGGTCAACCATTCTGACTATTCTTGTTCCACACATCTTACAATCCAACAAATCTTGGATAGGAAAAACACACAAATGTTGTTGGCGGGGTAGTAAGAGTAGCGGCGTCTGGAGCGGTTACACTTCCACAAAACATGTGTTGAATTCCGTCTTGCACAATAGCCAAAGTCTGGCTATCTTATCATTGTTATCTGAGAGGGTGACCCTTACACTGTCTGCACACAACTCATGACACAAGTCCCCACTGTTTAATGCGCTAAAAACAAACACACACACAAAAAGAAAAACTCAAGTTCCCCAAATCCTGTTGGACGTTAACAAAGGCAAATGATTTGATTTGGTTGGACAAAACCCTTTAGTCTTCTCCGAGCCTTCTCCTCATCGGCTTTCGCTTGACTCTCATGAATTTCATGTTCACCCCATGGTCATAAGTGGGAACACCGCAGAAATCAGCTCACAGCGCTTGACTACATAGGGGCGTTGCTAAGTTCTGTTTTCCACATGTACATCATGTACATCCCTTTCCCTGTCTTCCGTCCCTTCCAGCAGGGACGTTTGGTGAGGACCAACTGCCATGGCTGTGTCTAGCAGGTATTGCAAGATCATCCACCGGGACACTGAAAAACCAAAGAAAGATCAACAAACTGCATGTATATACTTGTATTATTTATCAAAAGGAAAGGAATAACGATCGCAACGATCCAACCAGTCTGCACATCATTGTTTTACCTCACCCGCACCTCTCCACCTCTTCATCCGTCGCATCCGTCGCGTGCCATCCGTCGCCCCGCTTCAGCGGCGCCTTGGCGACGCGCTCCGCGGCCGCCTTGGACTCGGTGTCGTTGCTCAAGCGCTGCATGGCCACAGCCTCGGACGACCGACGAACGAGGCGTTGGAATATATGCAATGGGCCTAAGCAACAGACTTTGATTTGTTGGGTATATAGGTGAGGTACTAGGTGAGGTATGGTGAGGTCTACATTCAAACACATTGGACATCGTCACAAGGAGGAAAATCAGAGCTAGGCAGGGGCTTCACACATGAAGTGGAACTGGAGATCAGTACTGCGCAAATATAATCCATTGGCCGTGACCCTGCAAACCGGGTGCAGTTCCGAGGGCGGGCGCCACTGAGAGCCCTGCTCGAAGTCCAGCATTCTGTTCAATTTCCCTTCGATGAGCCTGCTCCTGTGCATCGATGAGCAGGGGCCCGGGAAAGGGGCGATCCACAGGTGTATCTTCAGCAACTGATTCCGAGTTGAAGCCATAGACCATAGACCTCCGTAGCTTTTCTTGCCTGAAGAAACGTGGATGGCCTATTAGCCCCCAAGATCAGCTTAGATGAAATGATGCTCCACCCTAAGGGAGCTCCAGCAGTTGTTTTGGTGTGATTCCTGCGGAGGAACATCTTTGCAATCCAAGCAAATCTTATCAAATCTTCTAGAATCCCGCCAGGTGGAACCGTGACCTCCTCTAGTGAGTAGTCCTGTGAGTTTTGGCTGAACAAAGGGTGGATTGTATCCAGCAAAGCACAAATCAGTTCCTGGGCCCTCTCCTTGGGGTGTCTAGGAAACGCTTATCATCGATTAACCACCCTTTTGGGTCTGCATCAAGCCATCCAGCTAACCCTGAGCTGCTCACCTTTTCAGCAGCTTCCCTTCGTCGTTCTTCCCGCTCAGCACGAAGCCGTTCATAGGCCTTGTGGATGAGCGGGGCGGAATCCATATTTAAACCATCCTAAGGGGTATGAACCATCCTAAGGGGAATTAAAGGTCTATTGATCCTGTTCAGAGGGGGGCGGAATCAACCAATTTGATTGTGGTGTTCACTGGGATGTTCATGATTCAACGGCACTCAATGCCTTGACCGCGCACACTCGGTCGAAACGAGCGCATCTGAGATGTGCGACTTCCCCTGCCCCCCTGAAGAAACAAAAAGATTATAAAATATCGGCTATATATATACCATGATGCTCTGTTTTCACCACTTCTTCGCGAAAGAAACATGTAGCTCGCCTTGGGCGGAGCACATGGGCCAGCTCGGACCCCGAAAAGAAGCCCGGAAGACTTCGGTCCAGTCATCTGCCGGGTTTTTTCCGGAAGACGTCGTCCCAAGATCGACGACTGAGGCCTCTAGGCCTCTCTGACAAAGACTTATTGATGATATATGCACACAGCCAAACAGCGTGAGAATCCTGCGGAACATGGACATCTGCACTGGGTGTGGGTGATGCTTGGCCTCCGTCAAAAGAGAATTCTGTGTCCGTGGAGCGTGTGAAACCACTTCTGTCGGTTTGGGTGTTTTGACTCACAGCCACACCACAGCACGCCTCCCAATTGAGACTCATTTCACACACAGTCAACCAGCACACATGCTGGAGCTGCCGGATCTTGAGCTAGAATGAGACCCACAGCTTGTCAGCAACCGAATCCGTGATGTATTTGCCTCGGCTTGGCTTCAGCAAGTTTTGTTGAAGCCCCCACATTGATAGAGGGATAGCCGAGATAACAGTATATATTAATCTAAATCAAACATGTTTGAACATTTTGGACCTTAGACTTCAACAACATGAGAGGCAAAAGCTGCCAACTGCCAACTATGGTTTTGTGTCGTTCGATTTTTTGGGGGGAAACATGAAACTCATCAAACAAAGTCCAAGTCAAGTAAAACATAGCCGGAACTTTTCCACCATGTACGGACCTGTCATGCTCTTTCTGCAGTATCCAAAGAATCCACATGTGAAAACTTGAGACGGACGTCGGTGTCTCCAAAAATTCTCAAAATACTAATGTCCAGCAGAAGCGCTTTTTGAGGAAAACAGCTTTACATGCTCTTGCCGGTATCTCTTCTTCTTGGGCCCCTCACCAAAACCCTGCAAAGGCCCCAGACCCTGTGACGACCGAAGTCCTTCCTTTTCACCCGGCCGTCGTGCAATCCAAGTGGCAGCACGCTTCGGCGCGACCCGAAAGACCCTCGAGGATGGCCTGTGGTGCTGCGACCTCTTTGGCCAGCTCCATGGCAGACTTGCCTCAAAAGAGGTCATCTGGGCACCAGGTAAGCCGGTCTTTTGGGACTTGTGAATTGTCTTGGCCACACCAGAAGGATTGAGTGGTTTGGTGATGTTTAGGGTTCAATAAGGTGGGGATATGATGTGGTGCTAATGCAGCTTTTTCTTCATTGTCTGCCCACCGACCCCTGGAGAAGTTTGTTCTAAGCTCCTGGCCCTTGGCATTTCGGATGCCAACATCCGCACTCGCGGCGATGAGAACCGCTGAGGCATCAAAGGCACATGTAATTAGGCTGCATAGCAAAGGAGTTGATCCTTAAAGGAAATGCAACGAGTTTAACCCAGGTTCAGCTTGGAAGCAAAGGAAAAACACTAGGCCGAAGAACAACGAACAACACCTCAAGCAAAAGGTAGACTGATGCTATCACAGGATCCGATCGCCTGTGATGCGATCCAGGAGATCTGCACGTCATCTCCGAATTCCATCAAGTGCAGCAAAAACAAGGCAAACTTTGTTCTGGCCCAGAAGGCAAAGTGAGGATTGAATTTCTCCTAAGTGCGGAGAGTGTGCATCGGTTTTCATGTGTGCCCTCTGAAACCTTTCTTCCAAAGCAAAACATAGCAAGGCAACTACTCAAAAAGAAAACTAAACATCTAAAAAAACAGAGAACAGAACATATCCATACATATGCACATATATCTATCCACACACTCTGTGTATGGTGGTTCCAGGGGTCTATGTAATGATCGAATCTATTGGTCTTGGCCGTGTAATTAAAGAATGCTGTCATGAAGCTTCTGGTATATGAATGGCGATACTGTAACTATGGCGATATGATATGCCTGGCAAAAAGCGGAGATACGGTGAGGTCCGGTGAGGACGCCATAGGAAACCGTTCCATAACCGGTTCCTTTCACTTCGATTCCGTTCAAACGCAAAGCACGTTCTGTTGCGATGTCCCGTGGGTTCGGGTTGGCTCAACTCAACTACTCCCGACTGCTCGGTGTGCACAAAGCAACAACTCGGTAATAGCTTTTGGCCATCCAAACACCATAGGGAGAATGGTTTTGGAAGAAATCTAGCACACATGTCCACTTCCAAATGTTTTCCTCTAAGTCATTCCTCCATTTTGGTTCAAAACACCAGGACAAAACATACAGTCTCCAACAGGCTCCAAGAGTCATTGATGTCAGCTCCAGCTTCAATCAAGGCGCCAAGTACTTCGGGGGAAGCGTGGTCACAGAATAAGGCGAAATGAATACCTTGGTACTTCTATCACCGTCACCGGGTCAGCTAGGGTCTTTCACAATCTCCCAAGCGAATATCCCAAAGGAATTGGTGGCTTGGACGGACTCCTTTCGTCTCCAACTCACGGCCCCCACTGGCACCGGAATTGGGTCGTGGGTCCTTGCTGGAGGTGAACCATCGAGAATGATTCAGTGACCAGTGCAACATGGATGAAGAAAAACATGATCAACAAGTGCTTGTTCAAATGGCAAACTGGCAGGATCTGTTCTGAGATGGTACAGATGCTCTTTGTCAGAATTATCACCACTTGAGAGGAAGGTACGAAATTGCCACATTGCCGTAAAGATCCACAAAAAGCAAACAGTTCAAAACTGGTCATTTCAGGCCAGAGACAATGGCTTTTGTCCAAGTTGGGTACATTCTCCAGCAACGCTCGAATGCTACTGAGACTTCCCCAGCCACTTGCTGGAGCTAAGGCATTCTTATCTGTAAGTGCCTCCAAGTGATGGGGATCACAACCGCCTTCAAGAAGTAGATGTACTCCTAGGAGCAAGGACGCTACTAGGGGCTCCTGGCCTTACTACTAGGAACAAGAAGCAAAGGGCATCGCTACTAGGAGCAAGGACGCTCACTTCACCAGACGTGTGAAGTAAAACACACACTCACAAGCCTGTGATCCCTACCCCAAACGCTCCATGAGACTGCCATATTTGCCTACATTGGGGTGGTTGACCTACATATTCCATACATGGAGTGTCTGGGTACTGAAGCTGAACAAATGCCAAACAGAAACATTCACTCAGCATCAAACAACTCACTGTGACTCTCTCTGACTGAGATTCCCTTGGCATTGTTTCCAATCCCTGCTCGGTGTAGTGGGTTGGTGCCAATGCTGTCTGTGGAGGTCACCTTCGCCTTCATCTCCAGGAGAAACTTCAGTGAGTTGTTGCAACAAAACTGGGCAGAGATGTGAAGCCTCGCATCGCATCGGCAGGGCGGCCCCGAGCCAAACTGTTCTGGGTGAACACCAAACTGGGTGGTTTCACCGGTGTTTCACTGGGCGGTTCAGGAAATCAGGACAAAAACACCTCGAAATTGGGATCTGCAGCTTTGCTTTTGTTGCATCATGATGTGCTATATATACAGTAATTAAATTGCACAATAACTAACATCATATATTACATAATTTGTTTGATGCGACGCCCATCCCGCCCACAAACAAACTGTGAGACACGGTTCTTCCCCCACCCTCTTTGCCAAGAGGCAAGGAAGTACCCTTTTCGATGTGGTATTTGGCATCATGGCGCCGAACCCGATCATTCACATTTCCACGAAGTTTCAGCAACTCCTGCAACACCTGAGGCTTGGTACCATCAAAATTAGACTGATTGAGCTGTTTGTGCCAGCCTCTAGAAGAGTTACGACAACTCATATCAGATTCCATGCAATGGCTCCAATCCAGCAACCATCTGGAAAACACCAAACCCGGCGTCCGCAGCCTGGACATCATCCCGGAGGGCCGCAAAGCACATGGGACTCCAGCCAAACTGCCGATCCTTGGCGGTGTCACGTCGCCCCGTTGAGTGAGCGGTCTGAGGTAGATTCGCCCTGTGGTCCTTCGTCCAAAACAGATTGCAGTAACTCTGCCAGAAAGAAGCGTCTGTTCAAACCATTCCAAGGAGCTGTCACTCCCTTGAAGGCATTCTCTTCCATGAAGTCATTCAAGTGATCTGCTGGGCTGGAGCTGACAGGTGTCTTCTCGGGATCTCTGCGACCGGAGACTTCCTTTTGAAGATGCCTGGGTCACCACACGCTCGGCTCGCGGCGCGCGCCAGCATGCGCCAGCGAGCCAAGCAAGCAACCAAGGCTGCTCATGGCGTCTGGTCGATCTTCTGGGTTCTTCCCAAACCAATTCAGGAAAACCATCCTTCTTGGAATACCGGGTCGTGGCAGGGGTGATTGATTGTGACAACAACAGGGATGTAAAACCAGAAGATGATCAAATCAAATGCCATGACTATTGCAGTGAAGGTTCATTGGCTTTGGTATCGACTTCAAAACCCTCTGCAACGGACTGCTACCGAAACAAATCTCCAGTGAAGAAGAATATGTTTGCCCCACAAAAAAGTGCGGCTTGCTCTGTTTGGAGCGGAGCCTTTCATTGAAAGAATCTCAGTATACTACCTCGAACAATCATGGTTACGTAGATGGCATGGCCCCTTGGATGACCATTTTCCGAACACATCTGAATACCAAAACATACCAAAACAGGTGGTTAACTTCCAATCAAACACGAAGCACGGGATCCCGGCCCTGCTGATGCAACATCACCACGCGTGGCACGAGTGCTGGGGGGTCCCTGCATGGTAGCCAGTTGAACGCAGTTGTTCGGCCCGGGGTGTGAATCTTTTGTCAACGATGCATTCTTCTTGTCGCGACAAGCCTCGCTGCAACCTTCGCGATTGAGTCGAGCCTGTGACACTTCATTCTGGTATCTACCCTTTCAGCGCAACAATTGTGCCACTTCCAGGTGACCATTCTCAGCTGCAGCCATCAAGGCAGTTGAACCGTTGGCCGCTTCTGCGTTCTTGTCAGCTCCAGCCTCGAGCAACAACCGCACCACTTTCAAGTGGCCCTTCAGAGCTGCAGCCATCAAGGCGGTTACCCCATCTG